TGGAGTCATCATTGGTTAAAAACACTGTAACGAGTGAAGCTGAAGCTGACAGCAGTGTCAGTACTGGACAGCTAGCTGCAGGGGCACCACCGAGAACTGCTGTGTCTAATATTGCCAGACTTATGGCAAGAAAGAATGCTAAAACTGACCAAACTATCATCCCACAAGATTCATTGGCTGTGAACTCATCCAACCTTGTCAGGTCATCGTCCCATCTTAACCAGAAAATAACCCCTACAAAAGCCGCTTTGAATGTCCAGGGTGTTGTGGATGGGACTAAAACTGCAATTCCTGTGACTAGTGCTTCATCGCAGTCTTCAAGCAATTTGAAATCTACGTCAGAAAAATACAGCTCAGGGAAATCTAAGTACAGCTGGACTGCCTCTCAGTCACCGGTGAAAAAAGTTGCCGGATCACAAACTCCCCTTTTAGATGCTTCTACACAACAGATTAACTCGCCGAGTACTAGCACATTATTTGAACCCAGTAAAACATCAACTCCAGGACTTGTAGTAAAGTCTCGATACAAGCTAAAAAGAGTTAAAAGTTCCAGAAGTCATAAAACAATTGCTGCTAATCCAACTTCAAAAGCAGGAACCTCTCAACCAATCGTCCAAAAAACCTTAGCGTATAGAACTCAATATAAATTTGTACGTAAGAAAAATAGTTCAAGCGGTAAAGAAGTTGCTGTAGATGCCTCTCCTGCCGTTGTCACTAGATACAAATACACAAAAAAATCACTAGTGAACAGTTATACAAAGAAAACTGCAAAATCCAAATTACCAGTTAGATCGCAACTCAAACTTAATCGTAAAACACATGGCAATAACATTTATCCTTTCATGAAGGCATCCAGTAAAATATGCAAATATTCTCACCGTGGTTGGATTTCAAGATACTCCTTGAAAAAAGGTGGGTCATAGGTCAAATTACATTTAAATCTGATTTGGTCAAAAATTATTGCTTTTGGATCAAATTCCATTCATACATTTGTTATATACTGTAATGCAAACAGGACTCTTATTTTACAGGAAGTGCAATGAATGTTGTACAAAGTTTCCCTATGCTGAAAAGAACCAAGTACAGTCTGACCAGAACAGACAACTCAACAAAACAACAGTAAGTACTTGACCTGTAATGCAATAAAAATGCTTACAATATTGCCTTCGTCAACAGCTTTAAATAAGTTTATGGGAGGGGGGGGGTGCATGAAATTCAAAAAGTTGCAAGATACATTGTGCTTGAAAACGGTGATCTCTGGACACTGTTGTAACAAATGTTCATGTTGGAATATCTTCTTAAATTAAAATTGTAGATACTGTTTATTTTCACTAATTTTTGATGAGTTTTAACGTAAATATAGAGCAAAAAGCTATATTCGGTCGGTTTTATTAGTCCCTGTTCGAACAAAGTCACTCTGAATTACTAATTATGCTTTTGATCCAAATTACTTTATTTACTAATTCCAACGGGGACTTGTAGTAAATGATGTCAATAATAATGACTTATTTTTATTGAATCATCGGATCCCTTCAGCGAAAATATTGTATTTTATAGTACTGCATTTCATGTATTAGTATTGCATGTATGTTGCATAGGTAACAGTTAGAAGCGTGTCTATGGTCTTTTGTTCTTGGTTTATGTGTGCATCTTTGATAAATGTATTCTAATATACCGAATACAGTGCGCATTGTATTGCCTGAGATGTGTATGTGCAGCTTTTCAGGTAAGCTGAGTGAGTGAGTTTTTTGTGAGGGAGTGAGATACTCGCCCAAAATCCCACATGGAAGAATGCTATGTGTTCATTGTTAGAATTATACATATATGCTATTAATTAATTAATTAATTAATTAATTTCAAACTGCTGTTTTTTCTCTTCTTGCTACATGTATTTAGAAGCACATACGACTCGTCTAAGAATATACCTGCCAGGTGTAAACTTAAACTTGATAGGAGAGTTAGAAAAAGTCCCAGCAGTATAAAACTGGTGTCTATCGGAGGTGTCATCTATCAGAGCAGTTCAAAGAAGCTTGCCAGAGCTGCTACTGCAACACCGAAGCATGGCGTTCAAGATGATAGGGTGATTGTTAAAAAGACTAGAACTAAGCTGGTTAAGCAAGGTAAGTAAACCAGTAACTTGGTTAAAAAAGGTGTTTGGTTGACTAGAGTCAGGTTGTTATTTTAGTATTTCTAGTAAACGGTACAGAATTTTACGCTAATTTGCATACTAGTTAACATAATGTGCACTTATATTATTTATTAAAAAAATTGATTAACTGTATAAAGTGACACCATTGGTTGATTTAATTGCCAATGCTAATAATTGGTTACGGATTATATACAATTCATACCTACAGTTTTGCAAAACAATTCTGTATTATCAGTGTTCTCCCCAGGCCTTTCAAGCACTGCGGGGCTGCAACGCTTAGACAAACAGCTGCATCGCTTTCGTTTCGCCCATGATCCTTGAAATCCTGTGCACGATGCTTATTGTATTGTTTACAAGTGTCAGTCTCGTCTTGCACAACTTTAAAACAATAACATGTATTGATTGAAAGGTTAATCACGCCTTCATTAGCCACACAAAGACAGTGATAAAAACGACAGTCTACAAGTCGTTGCTAAGTCATTCAAGGGTGTGGAGCCTGCAAATCAAAAAAACAAATACTTGGGTGATAATAATTTGCCCATTGAATGTAACGACAACAATGTGACAAAGCAGCATACGTTGGGATAACAAGTGTGTGTTTTTCACCGCGATGTTTAAAAAACAACATCTCATTGACGATTTTGATTAAATTTTTAAGATAATCGTCAATGAATCGTTTTAATTAACAAGATTCTAAATTTGTGTATTTTTTCACCAAAAAGTCAGATAGCAATGATCGCAACAGCAACTGACAATGTTATGGTGATCGGATCAGAGTCAATAAAAAATCGCAAACTTTATTTTTGAAATGCCGTTGTAAAAAAAAAATGTTATTATTGATTTATTAATTTCATCATATTTTGATAACTCGCAATCTCACAGACTTTACAAATTTAACCAAAAAATGTTTTTCCCCACGTCGTATGAACTGACAGTGACTGGGCACTAAAACTGTCTGTACTTGTAATGTTGTACACAAAATAATGATAAACCAGTTACCTCCATGGATAACAATATATTTACTTTTTTTTTGCTGTTCTATTTCAAACTTTATTTGACTTGATACATGCATACAATACAATAATTCAGAAGTAAAATGATATAAAATATATGAGATATAATAATATCTCTTCTGTATTGTAGTTATTGTATCACAATGTTTGTTGGGGAAACTAATTATTATGCAAATAAAATTATCTACGTTAGGTGTATTGTTATGCAAATTAGCTATGATGCTTGAAATGGAGTCTGGAAAAAACACGGACTATAAAATCATTAAAAATGGAGTTTCAAATTACATATATTTGAAAAAAAATCAACTATTTTTTACTGCTCTCTTAATAGCTTATTACATCACAAACATCTTGTTAACTGTGGAAAACACTTCAGTCAAGATGGTGTATGTTTGTTTGTGATTTATTGTCCATGATTGGAAAGCAAATATTTCAATTGTATTCCTGTCTTAATCAGAAAGTAAATAAACAGCTGATTATGAAAAGGAATTCATTCACTTCGTTATTAAGTCATCCGGTCGATGGTCAGTGTTGTATGTGAGTTGTGAATGTAGTCATCTCTCTAGTCAAGGCACTCATGAAAACCATATTAACTTCAAAACTAATTTAAAAGTGTTGATAGAGCTATTGATACTGAATTACTTCTCTATTTCATCATTATCTTCAATCATTCTCGGTTGGCTGATCTTGACTTATAGTGTATTGCTGATAATTCTAGCCTAGCACATTCTCATGTATATTTACTTTCTACTTTTGAATGCATCACAAGCCAAGCTTAACACTTCCTTTCAGTCACACTGAAAGTGTCATATATTTACGTTTAACGTGTTTATTAAAAAAACACTGAAAACAGTAAATGTGCGAAACAGCTTAACAATAAAACTTGGTCCAAGATTGGATGTCTCTAGCAAAGTTACGGTCAACCTGAATTGTGGGCAAGCTGTCAGAGTGTTTATGTAAATCACACAGCAGCGGCTCTACTACCCTAAAATGCTTTGGTGGAGAACACACTGGTACAAAAACTGTCACTGCTCAAGATTTTGCCAAAATGAAATGGTGTTACAATATTTACTAACATTTTGTTCTCAAAAAGCTGTTTCAATATTGTTTTGCTTTTGTTTATTCATAAGCTGCTCAAGCACATAAAGTTATAGTGAATGTCCTTGGTCATCGTTTCATCATGGATCCCTCCGGACGTACACTAAAAAGAGACCAAGGTGAGGAGAGAAGTAAACAGTTGGTTACAGTGCCCTCTGGTGATAAAGGGTTGTCCAGAGTGGACATCGGTGGGATCACTTTTGTACAGACGACACCTGGCACGCTGGTCAGAAAGGATAATGAGCACACCAAGGCAATAGCACAGTGAGTACATGTATCCGTCTCCCAGATATTGTGATATAAACGACATCGCGTAACTCAATTGATATTGTCATTGTTGGAATATGGAAATCTGTGTTGTTTTCAATCATGTGGCAATTTACCTAAAAAAAATCTACAAGAGGGGGAGTACTGCAATTCAGCGGCGCCACCAAGTGGTGTGGAGTTTTTGATAATTCTAAGTTAAAATGGAGTATTCTATAGCTTCCTTGGGGCCAAAATTACTACCAGACAGTTGAAGACTGTGGCCACATGTGATTCCTGGTCAGAATTTCATGGCTGCCAGAGCATCTGCTCCCCAGGGTGAGGTGGTGCATGGCCATGTCATGAGGGCGCAGCGCTGCTGTTCCCTTGTTTGAAAAAAAATCCCTGAATTTACTATTCTAGATGTTTGTGAAGTCCTTGCGTAAAAAAATAAGATGCGTTTTGTAGTGATTGAAAGAGGCTGCTTTTTATTTCTTGTATTACCATTTGTATGTCAGATGACTATGTGGTTGTCCTGCAGTAATCCTTTAAGATAATTTAGTCATGGCGTGTACCATCCATCCTTCTCACTCTTTAACACACACATGAAATCCCACTTGGTATACTAGTAACCCTCTAGTGGCAGCATTGATCAATACCATAACTTGTTTCTATTTCAGTCGTGTTTTACAGCGGAGTATTCAGACATCCAATGCTATGAAATGGAAGAAAAGTAAACCTAAGCAATTTTGTATGTTTTATAATCGATTCGGAAAATGTAACCGCGGCAACAAATGTCCGTACATACATGACCCAGACAAAGTTGCTGTTTGTACGAGGCAAGTTATGTTTTTGATTTTCACACCTACATAATTTGATGCTAATGACACTGCTGTATTCTCTTCTCCATGCTTGGTTGAAATGTTGAGATGCAAGTGTAGGAACAAGTTTGTGAAGCTAATGAAGACTACGTTTCATGTCTGCACCGTCGAAGGCTTGTATTTTGTATTCATTGATTGATTGCTTGACATGCCTATTAATTGTCTCAATAATATTTCAAACTAGAATTGTGCTTGCATGGTCATTGTGCAATGGTGTAAATCAGATATGTTCTACTTTCGATTTGAATTCATCGCAGATTTCTACGTGGTACGTGCAAGGATGGTGCGAGCTGTCAGTTCTCTCACAAAGTGTCAAAAGATAAGGTAGGATATAACCACACAGAAACAATTTCTACCATCAGTGTGTGACAACACATCTGTAGAATTGATCAGGGCAAATAATAATAATAAAAAAATATTAATGTTTCCACTATGAAGCGATGATACATTCACATGCATACATCGAAAGATGCATTTACAAAATGTTTTCTTTCCAGTCAATATTATTATTTTTTATCTCCACAGATGCCAGTTTGCTCTTTTTTCTTGCGTGGTGTTTGTAATCGAGATGACTGTCCATACTTACATGTTAATGTGAGTCGTAAGGCGGCAGTGTGCCAGGATTTTCTGAAAGGCTATTGTCCACAGGGGCAAAAGGTTGTTAATTTTATTTAACCCTTATCTATAAAATAAAAGTTTGATGGAGGCTTCCCAAACTAAATTTGTACCCACTTAAGAGTTTATAATCGAATACTGCCCTGTGCAAGTTCTATCACAGCTGTGTGAAAAGAATACAATGTTTATTTTGCAGTGTAAGGAACGACATATTCTAGAATGTCCAGAATTCTCTCGGACCGGCCGCTGCCCCGATGGGGATAAATGTAAAATGGCCCACAGGATGCGAAAACGGAAAACAGCAACTGTAGATGAAGGTCCTTGCAAGAAGAAGTCAAGCCATGCTCAAACCGCTCGTACTACCAAGTAAGTAGTGATCCGTCAGTGTAGTAGTTTATGCATATAATTAACATAAATATGAATTATTATGTATATCTCTGATTTTAAATTTAGTTTAGTCGCGGAAAAGAAGAGAAGAATGGGAGATAAATATGATGAAGAGGATGTTGAAGATGATGTGGTGTCACCGAAGAAAACCAGAAAGTTGCCTTCTTTTATAGCCTTACCCGATGATGATACTCCTAAACTAGACAAAAAGAAATCAGAACACAGCACAATTAATGCGCAAGGTGAGAATGTTAATTAAGTTACTAAAGTCCCTCTAGAATTGACCTCTCAAACGTAATCTGGGTTAGCGCTAAGTTATCATGGTGGTGGCAGCTCGGGAGAAGATATTATTATGAAAAAGTGTTTAGACTCATGTAGGAAATTAAAATATGCTGTTTTTACTTACACTTTATATTAAGCAATAATGGTGTAATTTTACCATTGGTGAAGGATTAGCAGAAGTTCAGCATGAATACAGTTTCACAGTTGACACAAAAATATAAATTCTTTTTACATGTAAATGCATCTATGCAACAATTCCCTTCAAAAACTGTTTTACTAATTTAATTTAATTGGTATCAATTAACAGTGAAAGAAATTATTTTAATATCGTCACGTTTTTTACAAAAATAACAAACTACTTCTGAGGCAATACAAACATGATTAAAATACTATAGAAACAATTTCTTTTTATCATTATAAACTCCAAGTGATATTCACTAAATTAAGCAGAAAATAGTTATCCTTGGCCCGGTTCTTTTAATACAATAATTGACCTGATAGGGCAAAAATATCATTTAACTAATCAGATCGCAGTAACTGACAACTATGTTTGAATATTGATAACTGTGAGAAGCACAATGAAAAAGACATTGAGTGTGGGTCTCAGACAAATTGGAATGTTCACAAATTGATGATACTGTTTATTAAATTCAGTGCACACTGTGTGACTTTGAGTTTACTAAGTTCTACGTGGTAAAAAGCGTTCTAATAATATTTTTAAAGCTGGTATCTAAATGGTTGTATTTGAGAGCCCAGATGAGGTAAAACATTCACACTCGAGTCTTAATCAGTCACGATAAGCCTCAAACCATGAGTCAAGGGTGTGATGATATTTACATACTGCGAGGCTCAAATAGTCATTTTTTTTTTCAGCCCACCATTTTTTTTAAAATTTGTGCTCTCTAAAAATCTTCAAAAAATTGGCTGGGAAACAAATCAAGCAAGTCAGACATTCCACACATTAAATAGACATAAAAGCAATGATTGCCAGGAAATTGTTATTCAAAACAATAGTATTTATGAGGCCTTGAGATGGGATTTAGATTAAAAAAAAAGTTATAGGGGCTCTTTTTTGAATGATAAATTCCTTGTTGTGGATGTAGTGTATTTTAGCTATAAATAGAATTAAACCCATTTAACTGTCAATCATTCACTCCTAGCATACTTTGAACGGTACGTAAATTATTCTGTCGGGCAACTTATTGTTCTGTAAATATCAGTTAGGTTTATGATATCCAGGGATCAATTTTTCATAGGCTGACCTAGTCTATTCCTAACCATTGCCACCATAATAACCTCCTTTTGTTGTCCAACAGAGTCGCTACATATCAGGCCCCGATTTATACTTCACAAGAATGCAGATGAAAAACAATAACCTTCAACAGAAGATACTAAAATTACAACCGCAATATGGTGTTTATTTTGATAATTTTCCAGTAATTATCCTAAAAAACAATGACAATTGTGATTTGGCAAAAAAAGTTCAAATGGCAAGTTCCATTTAAAAAAAAATGTGATATTTGTCACACATTAATTTACATAAAAAAACAGGTAAGTATAACTTTTATGAAATACAGCTTTATTCTTGTATTTTTTTGTTGTAATGTAATTTTTACTATTTTAACTTATGGTTAACTCATGGAAATTGTGTACAACATTTTGAGATAAACCTTGTTAAACATCTTACCCAACACACAAGCACAAATGTGATTTCTTTTCCAAAATGTTTGAAATTTCAGTTCGAAAACCAACTTTTTTCAAGATATTTTGATTGTTGTGATGATAAAACATAAAAAAAAATAGTGTTTTTACAGTATTTTATACTCTTACTTACATTATCACAAAGTTTAGTTTTCGCAGTACAATATAAAGTTTACATTAATTGGCCTGTGTTCTTGTTATATTTACATTACAACTCGGTGTGTGCTGGGTGTGACTAGCATGTAATTCCGGATGAGAAAAAAGTATTAAATAAAGATGTGTAACACCAATCTAATTTCCTTGTGATATCTTTCTTTAATAAGGGGGTGGTGTGTTTTACTGACTCGTTCGCTCCTATATGACATCACATGAGAAGGTCGTTGCGAAATAAAATCGTTTTTGAACTGATTCAATGTCGCTTGAAGGAATTGTTTACTTACACCATAGAGAGAATTTCACCTTGCTGCAATCACACAATTGAATCATGAAAACTGGAGTTGTCATATTTGGTGATTTCATAGATGAATAATGCGACAAGCATTCATTTTTATTGCTATTTGATTTCACTATTTTAATATTTCATAATAATCAATTTTTCCAGTTGGATTTAATGTAGCAGATTATTTTCTTTCTAGAAATTAACAACAAATGATATTGAATATTTAAATAGAAATATAATCTATGTGACTTTTAGGTGGAGATGTGTGAATTAGGTCGGCTTATATTAATCCCGGAAAAAACAGATGTCTCTAAACTGATTATTATTGGTGGCAGCTTGTTACAAATGAGTTGTTGGTGTGTGCATCTTCTTGCAATAGAGTATTATTCCAAAGAGATTTCCTGGTAAATTTTAATTTAGAAAATATCAAACTCTTTTATGTAGGTTTGTCAGACCTTACTTTTTAAAGCCACTTCCCTCGTCTATCAATAAACTCTCTAAACTGAGAGCTAGTAATCATTCTCCCTATTCAACATTGTTTTAATGTGATCAATGCCGTAGCTTCCCTAATAACGTGCGTCTTTTTTAGCTGCCAGGTCATTTTCCAAAAGGCAAGATCTGGCTTGTGTTTATACAAGTAAAATACAGGGGGAAAATCTGTGGTGCAGTTACACTAAAGAAAACATTTTCGAACATTTACGCCATTTTTGTTGTGCTGGTGATTCACCTCATTAGTTGTTAGCTGTTGCCATGTAATGCTCGCGAAAAATGGGTCATTCAGTAAAAATAAACGCTTGTCACATTTTTCTTAGTGAACACACCCCGGCTACGTTTTAGATGGCATTTCTTCAAGTTAACAGTGTTGTGATATCATGTTCTTACGGGAGTGTATAAAATTGAATATAATGTGTACATCAACAAGCATTGACAATGCACAGTTGCCATGTTTTTTTTGGTAATCAATCTGTGTTCAATATGTAGATATACACGTCTACCAAAACGCTCACTCCATGCATCATTCTGTATGTCAATTTTAATGCAGTATGACTAGGAAAAAAATCGAAAAAAAAAAACACATTGTGTATGATCCTGATACATTGCCCAGTTCATCTGCATGAAATGATTCCAGACACATTTACAGACTGATTTTAGACAAAATGACACAATTAACAGATTTCATCAAGTTACACAAAATAACACTGTGGTATTATCTTTGAGTATGCATGTAGTACTGTACCGGTACTTATGTTCAAACTGAATCAGATAATAGATTAGCAAGAAATTGGTATAAGTCGTGAATAATAAACAAAATGGTCACCAATCGGCCATTTCTGTTTGAATACATGATCTTCTGTCAAAGTTTGAGTGAAATCGCCCTGTTCATGTCATTTGTGGCTACGGTCT